TATAGCCGAGTCCTCAGATATGGACATTCCTAAGACCTACGCTTCCCTTAATTAGTGAGTGGAGTCCTTTCTTCTCTCCTCCCCTAGGTTCTTGTGTTGGATTCCGGCTTTGGTCGATGAGACAAGGCATGAGAGGGAGTTGTCCTTGTGGCCTAGAGAGTGTGATAGTGGTGAGAGGTGTGTGATGGGATGGGAGAACATATGGATGAGATGGGTTAAAACTTGATGAATTATTACTAAAAACTTGATATACTTGCATTGGAAAATACAACCATAAATAGGTCTTTTGCTCTACCCTTGTATTCCACTACTACAAAGCAAACACAAAGCTTAGGTGGGAGCCGGTGGCCAGTACAAATCGTACTAATAATTGTTTGGCAGGTCCTGAGTCTACGTATGACTTCCAGGGAGATGGTTGGGAGGATTAGAGGTCTCGCCCTTTGCTCGAGTTTGGTTTAGATGATGAAGTCCATGCCTATTGCCGTTCTACCTGATGCTGTTCCAGTTGCTGCATGCTCTGAGTGATTTCACCAAGTGGTAATGTAATAATGAGTAAACCTTGCTATTTGTACTCTCTTAAGACATGTATTCAATGTATGACTGTGATATCGACTGTTATTTGATAATATGATGGAATGATTATCTGGGACTATCACGTTATACTTTGAATCTGTGGATTTCCCTTCGTAGAAATCGGGATCTTTTCAGTAACGAAGGTAATGGTTACACTAATAATAATTTTAATAATAATTAAAATAACCAACCTTCATTAAGAGGTATTGTCTTAGGCCAATCTAAAATAAATGAAAGTATTAGTAAAAAGTTGTTTGCCAATGACAAGGTTCTTGAAAACCTAAATGCTAACGGGATAGTTTTGCTTCTATAGTTAAAAATCAATTGAGTTTTACTAAAATGTTAGAAACACAATTAGCTCAATTAGCAGTCGCTGTCCTGTCCTTCGAGCAAGGTAAGAGCCATGGAAAACTCAAGGATCCTGTTGAAGCTTCTAATTTGGTCAAATCAGGTAATGGAATATACTTATATACTTTCGTAATAGACTTATTTATAAATACAAATATTGATACTATTTTCTTCTCCCTCTGTCCCAAATTATAAGTCATTCCAACTTCCTTGGAGAGTCAAATCATCTTAAGTTTGACCAAATTTATATAATAAATAATGAAATTTTTTATACCAAATAACTATTATTAGATTCTTTAATTATATTTCTATAGTTTGCCTATTTAATGTCATAAATCTTTGTAATTCTCTCTATAATTTTAGTCAAACTTGAGATGCTTTGTGTTGACACTCAAAAATGTCCCAAGGTGGTTTTGGGCACCATGGACAAGTTATAAACATCTTGGACAAGTTTGAGGTCAAGCGGCGTAGAAGACGGCGAGCCACGGCGAGCCATAGCTAGTCGGCTTAGCCGAGACTCAGAGTCGGCATAGCCGACCTTGTCACCCCTAGTTGGCTTAGCCGATGGCCGAGTCGCCTAAGTCGACTCACCTTCACTAGCCACCGGACACCGGCCGAGCCCACAAATTAGCCGCTTAGCCGACTCCCCTTGTCGGCTAAGGCGACCCCGCCTAGAAACCGGGTAGGAGACTTCCTAAAATTGGTTTTTGGTATATTTTTGACATGAGAAACTTGGAGAACACGTTTTGGAGATGTTTCCTACTGGGATAATACCAACCCCTCTCTCTAATCATTAAAAATACAACATAACAACTCCTTTTGCCCTAATTCCCTCTCTCAACCCCTCCTGCTTTGTTTGACACGTCTCCCGATGAGATTTGTCAAGATCCTCAAGCAACCTTCTTGCTGGTCCTAGGAGATCCTCCACGTGTTCCTCCCCGACAGGTATTTCCAGGAGTAGTTCGGGAGCGTTTTCAACCAAGAGCAGGCTCTACATCGGCCTTATTGGTCTCTAGATCGGTTTGGTTGATTACGTTTGTGTTCTTGCAACGCTTGCGACTTGTGTGCAACCTCTTTGGGTGTCCAAGACCCTCGTTGGTGTGTTGTTTTGAGGTCTTTTTCAACGTCAACATAATTTTTGGCGATTCCGCTAGGGAAAGCAAAGAGAATCAAGAACCAATTTAGTAGCAATATGGGAGACAATGATGGTGCTGCCACCGACAAAGGTGACAAGACCAGCCCCTTCAATGAGGCTAGCATGATCTTCCACAAAACATGGATGAGCGTCTAGATAAGTTGCGCTAGAAACTTCAGGACAAGCTCGATGCCGATGTCAAGGCTTTCTTGAAAAGTTGCACTAAGAATCAGCATGACAAGGACACTGAATTCTGTGAACCCGCCTATGGCGATGCTACAACCGCTTCATCTTCAGGCGCTGGGTAGAAGGGAGAAGGAAAAGCTAAGTATGATGAGGAGGTAAATACCGATGCTTATCCTACTCATGCTAATTTTGTTCAGATGTTGATAGATGAAAGAAAGTTGCATAATAATAACCTTTAGCATCTTTCTAATCTACTTCAAGCACGTGTGGATAAGTTAGAGGGCAAGACAACCAATTGTCAATCGGGTGCCGTGCAACAACCTCAATTTGGTATGCCCTTAAATTTTAATGAAAATCAGACCTCTCATGCATCTGCTAGCCAATTTCAATCGCCCCCTTCAGCATTTGAACCGATAAAGCCGGTCAACTTGGTGCTAGCCCATCTACACGTACAGCTGCTGGTGCACAAAGTTCGGGTCAAGCTGATGATGCTTTAAATCGGTTTAAGGATGAATTGGCTAAATCTCTTGAAAGTAGTTTAGGAGTGCAACTTAAATCTAGTAGGAATACTTATCAAAAGCCATACCCTTCTACTTATAATTTCATGAAAGCACCTAATGGGTGGAGGGTACCGGTTTTCAGAAATTTAGTGGTGATGATTGTAAATCAACCATGGAGCACATTAGCATGTTTCTTGCACAATTGGGTGAAGCTAGTGCTTATGATTTTATGAAAATTCATAATTTTCCTTTATCTCTTATCAAAGACAACTTTTGCATGGTTTACTTCATTATCATCTTGTTCTATTGATTCATGGGCTAAATTAGAAGAGAAATTTCATAATCACTTTTATAATGGCACTCATGAAACTAGATTGTCTCATCTTGCATCGGTTCGTCAAAGGGCGTGATGAGTCATCAATATTTTTCAAACGATTTAGAGAAATCAAGAACCGATGCTTTCATTTAATTATTTCTAAAAGACTTAACCGATTTATGTTTTGCTGGTTTACGTTCTAGCATTAAAGAAAAGCTTGAGCATTATGAGTTTCACAATGTTAATCAACTTATGCAAAAGGCTGTTTCAATTGAATCGCGCCTTAAAAAGTCTCGTGATGCTTATAAGTCACATCGTCAGGGTGTGCATTTTATTGATAATAATTCTGATTGCTCTGATGATGATAATAAAGAATTTTTAGCTGCTAAAATTAAATGGCTAGCAGAGAATAAATTGGTTACTTGCCCTTCTCTCAAGCCAATTCATAAGAATCATAATGAGGAAGTGAAGTTTACATTTGATTTTCTAAATGCGACTGAATTTTTGATGAATTGCTTAAATTCGGTTATATTAGAATTAATTATACAATGCCTTCAGCGGATGAGTTCAAGAGACGGGCTTATTACAAATATCATAACTCTTTTTCTCATGCCACTAATGATTGCAATGTTTTTACGTCGGCAGTCCAATCGGCCCTTAATGAGGAATAATTGAGTCTTCTTGAGATGCAAGTTGATAAGTCCCCATTTCCAATGTATATGGTTGAATCAAGGGCACCATTGTTTTGATTCATCGAGAGCAAGTGATAAAGCTCAAGGCAAGAACGTGATTATCGGCGAACCACGTGTAGCACCGAATGTCGAAAAGAATTCAGGGCACATATTGGTGCTTGAGAAGGATGACGAAGGCAAGAATAAGTTGAAGATCACCACTGGATCAACACAATATTTGAGAAGGCAGCGGTGGTACGAAACAGTGGTGGCACAGCTGAGGCTGGCTAGGCCGACTCCACTAGTCGACCAAGCTGACTCCAGCACACAGCAGAGTCAGTTGACTCAATCGACTCAGGGAGTTAGCTTAGCGGACTCTACCCCCAGTTCAGCCAAGTCGGTGAGCCAATCGCCTAGTCGGCTTAGCCAACTCCCCTAGTTCCAGTGACCCTAGCGCTTCTAGTGTTTGTGTTTTGCACACGTTTATTCCATAGCGATGAGATTGGCACTTGGAAGACAAATGAGAAGAACTTGGGAGAGTTGGTCAAGAAACAATGCATTTTTGTTATTATCATGACAAAGTACAAGCAACAAAAGGCCGATTCCTAGAATCGGCCATTAAAAAAAGAGAGTCTACTCCTCCTAAGTGAGAAGATGACAAGTCTAAGCAATTGGCGGTGGTGCAACCAGCAACTCCACCTCAGAGAGTTGCTACTTGTGTATCTCACTGGGGTCCCTCGATTCCACATCTAGCTACACCGCAATGGGGTCCCTATGGAGTTTGGGTGCCGTATCCTCCAGCGGTACCTATGCATAGCCAACAAAAGTGGGGAGATCCTACTGGTCAAGTCCCAAGGACCTCCATGTTCAGCCGATTGAACCAAGGTCAATCGTGCTCTGGTGGTGCAAGTCAAGACTTTGTGGCTTCGTAAGGATCGGGAAAGGCACCAATGCAGCAAGTTTATGTGCCTAAGAAGGTTGAGGCTCCTATCATTCTGCCACTAAGGGCTAGTCCTCAATCGGTAATCACAATTGACTCCATGGAAGCTCCCATCACTAATCATGATGGGCCGATTGTAATTGAAGATTCTCTAGCATCTAAACAAGATGAAGCTCCTAAAGAAGTTGCTAGAGTTGAAGAGAAGAGACGCATCGAAAGAGATTCCAAGTACCGGCAACCCACATGGGGTCCTCGTGGGTTGAATAAGACTCAACAGCACAAATTGCAGCATGCCTAGCATAAGCAATGGAAGAGGGAGAAGCTTGCCAAGATGGAGGGTGAAATCTTCAACCCAATACATGTCAAAATCCCTCTGAAAGATCAAAACACCACTACTACTGCTAGCCTATCGGCTCAGCCGACTTCAGAGTCGTCTAAGTCGACCCCTGTGCTGAGTCAGTCGGCGAAGCTGACTTTGCCTGTTCCTACCACCCTAGATGTGGCAGAGTCATCTAAGCCGACTCCCTCTGCCCCTGCTGCTTTGGGAGACCCAGAGTTGGCTAAGCTAACTTTGGAGTCAGCTAAGTCGACTCCCACTGTCCCGGGTGCCTCCGAGGCGTCCTCCGATGATTTTGCTCCCACCATTGCTACCCTGGTTGGCATGGAGGTCCCTGAGGTTCTCGATGAGGACATGGTTGATTATGAAGCCACTTCAGAAAGGACGGAGGTCAATGTGGTCTATATGTCTACCGATTACTATATTCTTGGAGATGATTTGGCGGTGGCGGAATTTAATTCTTGAGTGCTGTATTTCAGAAACCAGATGACTCTATCAATCATCTCAAGCTCGTGCATGTGAAGGGCCATATCAATGGTACTCTAGTTCACAATATGTTAGCACTAATGAGGAGATGATCAAGACCGACATGACGATCAGCGGTGTTGGAGGAGGTGCTCCCATCCCGACCAGAGGAGTTGCTAACATGGAGCTCACCATTAGAAGCAAAACTTTGGCCACGATGTTCTTCATCGCTGACATGCAAGGTAGCTATAATTTGATACTTGGGCATGATTGGATCCATGCCAATTGTTGTGTGCCGTCTCGCTTGCACCAATTTCTCATCCAATGGGTGGGAGATGCTGTTGAGGTTGTGCATTTAGATTCATCGGCTAATGTTGCTACAACCGATGCTCCTACACTTGGGAGGCATGATGCTATTGCCTACTTGTCTGGTAGAGATCTTTCTAGTTATGAATTTATTAGTGTTACCAAGCTAGGATTTGTTCTTGTATCTTTGAAGCCGATTGATTATCGGCTCAATATCATTGTGTAATCATTTATTGTAATGGATGGCAACTTTGAATGGTTAAAACATCGTGTTGAACAGTATCCGGCTAATAAGACCGATGCCGAGGCTATTGATGATTTTGATGAGCTCGATAAGTTGGGCCAAGGATTTACGTTGGCCGGCCCTTTAGAACAGGTTGATATTGGGGATGGCTCTATGCCCCGGCCAACATTTATAAATCAAAACTTGAAAGCCGATTACAAAGTTGAGTTAATCGTGCTTCTTAAGGAATATGTTGATTGTTTTGCATGGAATTATCTGAGAGATGACTAGATTGAGCCGAGAGCTTGTTGAGCATCAACTCCCCATTAAGAAAGGGTTCGGACCTTTCAAGCAACACCCCATTGCTTTAATTCTACAATCTACGATCGGATTAAAGAAGAGATTAATCGGTTGTTTACAAGCGGGGTTTATTCATCCATGCAGGTATGCGGAGTGGGTCTCTAATATTGTGCTTATCAATGATGCTTCAGGACACCAGGTTATTAGCTTTCTTGATGGTAATGCTGGTTATAATTAGATTTTCATGGCCGAGGAAGATATGTCTAAGACGGCCTTCATATGTACTAGGTTTGTTGGTCTCTTTGAGTGGGTTGTGATGAAATTTGGGCTGAAGAATGCAGGTACTACTTATCAAAGAGCTATGAATTTGATTTTCCATGGTCTAATTGGGGTGATTATGGAGGTATACATTGATGACATTGTGATTAAATCGGCTACCCATAAATCCCATTTGGCTGATTTACGTCTTGCTTTTGAGAGGATGTGCCGCTATGGATTAAAGATGAACTCGCTTAAATGTGCTTTTGGAGTATCGGCTAGAAATTTCTTAGGCTTTATTATTCATGATAAAGGTATAGAGGTTGATCCTAAGAGGATAGAAAAGATCAGGAATGTTTAGGTGCCTACATGCAAGAAGGACTTACAAAAGTTCCTGGGGAAGGTGAACTACTTGAGGAGATTTATTGCTAATTTGTCCAGGAAAATTATTCCTTTCTCCCCCATATTGAAGCTGAAGGATGAATCTGAATTCACTTGGGGGCACAACAATAAGAAGCATTTGAGAAGATAAAGGAATATTTGTCAACACTATCGATTCTTCGTGCACCTAGAAGGGGAGTTTCTTTCAAATTATATACTACTGTCGAAGAGAAAGTAATCTTGGTTGTTTTGACTCAAGAGGACGAAGGTAAAGAATATGTAATTGCTTATCTTGGTCGCCGTCTTCTTGATCCTGAGACAAGGTATGCCCATATAGAGAAATTATGCTTATCACTGTACTTTGCTTGTGCTAAGATGAGACATTATCTTTTGTCTAGTACATGTGTTGTCGCTTGCCAGGACGATGTGATAAAGCACATGTTATATCGGCCAATTCTTCATGGAAGGATAGGCAAATGGGCATACACGCTAATTGAATATGACTTGACTTTTGAACCATTGAAAACATTGAAAGGTCAAGTTCTTGCTGATTTTATTGTTGAGCATGGTATTGATTTAGATGATGAAGTCAATTACCTTACTTTTACTCCATGAAAATTATACTTTGATGGATCAGTTTGTAAAGGTGGCCACAGTGTTGGTATTATTCTTGTTTCTCCCAATGGTGCTTGTTGACGGTCGTTAACATCAATCATAAACCATCAACATATCCTGCATATGTACTTAATTCCATCACCAAACATAGGTCTAGAGGTTTAAACTAATAAATTCCATAAGTTTTAGTGAATCTATGTTTGCAGGATGATTTATTCAGAAAACCATCAAGGTGGACCCAATCGTCAAATTAAACCACGTTTATCCACGATGAAACCAACTTAGGAAGACTCCAGAACACTCCAGAAGACTCTTTACCAAAGATCGAGCCAAGAGTCCGATAGGGGGCCAGCTAGCCCCACCTATAGGCTGGCTGGCCTTGGATCCCACTAGTCAGTCCCTCCTCTCTACGTCAGTTCTCCACCGCCTTAGGGATCACATCTACGCCACTGATTTAAGTCGGTTTGATCCGAGGGTCCAAAATTGATGCTACCCCATATATATAGTAGGCCCTACCTCCCTCCTTAGAGCCATCCTGAAATCCTAATTCATATCTCTCATTCAGATCAACATACACTAGGAGGATTAGGTCTAGAACTTTCCGATGTAGTAGATTAGTAGCTCGGTGAAAGGTCCTAATATGGCTAGAGGGGGGGTGAATAGCATATTTAAAATCTCTACAAGGCACTAGAGCAATTGATTAGTACAACAAATGTCAATGGATTGTCGAAGATGGAGGGCTTGTTGTTGATGGCGATACTTGCTAGTGCCTTATTGATGGATTTCTTGTCATCATCACTAGAGCCATCATCATCATCGGAGGTGCCATCACTATCCCAAGCGACTACATAGCCATCTCCCTTCTTCTTCTTTGTGAAGGTAATTTTCTTCTCCTTCTTCTCCTTCTTTTCCTTCTTATGCTTCTTCTTCACATCCTCATCATTGTCACTATTGTAGGGACAATCCGCTACAACATGATCTAGGCTCTTGCACTTGTAGCATCTTCTTACATAGTCCTTGCTCTTGAAGTTGTCTCTTCTCTTTTTTGCACCATAGCCCTTCTTCTTAATGAATTTTCCTAACTTGCGCACAAGGAGAGCCATAGCTTCATCATCAATGTCACTAGCATCTTCATCATCACTTGATTCTTTCGTGGACTTGCCCTTGTTCTTGGATGATGAGCTAGCCTTGAATGCTACATCTTCTTCTTTTTATCTTCAACTTCCTTCTTCTCATCCTTGTCAATCCCCTCCCTTTCCACATGGTATGCCTCTTGTGTCATGACATCAGCTAGTACTTGGTTAGGGGTCAATTGCTTCAATCCTCCTCTAATGATGAGCAATCTCAATGTCTTAAATCTTAGAGGTAAGCATATCAAGAACCGATGACAGACATCATTATCAGTGATCTTCTCTCCCAAAGCCTTCAAGTCATTTACGACCACTTGGAGTCTATGGAATATCTCCGGAATGCTCTCATCATCCTTCATCTTGAAGCTTGTCAACTTGTCCTTGAGGATGTATAGCTTGGCACTCTTGACCACTGGTGTGCCCTCATAGGTCTCCTCCAACCTCTTCCACACCTCACTAGCTCTTTCACAATCCTTGATTTGCTCAAACACATTGGAATCAATGGCATTGTAAATGGTGTTGAGAGCCATTGTGTTGCATTGCTTATTAGTCTTCTCTTGGTTGGTGAGATTGTCGGGATCAATAATGGAATAATCACTCTCGGTCACATCCCACACTTGATCATTGATTGAACTAAGATACATCTTCATCTTTCTCTTTCAATAATCATAGCATGTGTAATCAAAGAACGGTGGTTTGCCCCCCACATGGTTGAACATAACTTGAGCCATCTTTTGACACCGAGGTTGTTAAGCCTTCAATCAAACGGTGACCATGGCTCTGATACCACTTGAAAGGTCCTAATATGTCTAGAGAGGGGTGAATAGCCTATTTAAAATCTCTACAAGGCACTAGAGCAATTGATTAGTACAACAAATGGCGTAATGCAATTTTGCTCTAGCTCTACAAGGGTTGCAAGCCACCTATCCCAACAATTCTAGTTGCTATGATCACTAGGCACACACAAGAGCCAAGTTACTACTCACTAAGCTAGTGTGCTCTCAAAGACTAACTAAAGAGCCACACTAACCAAACTAACAAGCTCTCAAAGACTAACTACACTAAAGAGCTTGACAACTAGTTTGCATGGAATATAAAGGAGTGAGTAAGGTGATTATACCGCTATGTTGAGGAATGAACCAATCACAATATGATGACAATCAATCACTAGGAGAAATCTAATCTCACAAGAGACACAATATTTTTCTTCCGAGGTTCACGTGCTTGCCGGCACGCTAGTCCCCATTGTGTCGACCAACACTTGGTGGTTCGGTGGCTAAGAGGTGTTGCATGAACCTCATCTAACAAATGGACACCACAAGAACCTACCCACAAGTGAGGTAACTCAATGACACGAGTAATCCAATAGAGCACCTTTTGGCTCTTCGCCGGGAGAAGGTCAAGAACCCGCACAAGCAACCGATCGAGACCAAAGACAATCACTAACTCTGATCACCGATCCTCCAATCACCGGACCGTCTAGGTGTCGGCAAACACCAAGAGTAACAAGCTCACAACCAGCCCAAATCACCCAACTAGTGCCACAAGATGATGCAACTCAATGCAATGCACTAGAGGCTTACTAATCTCACTCAAATGATGAAATCAAGTGTGCAAGTGAGTGGATTGTGTTTGCTCAGCTCCCAAAGGATGTGCACAAGTGTATGAAGTGCCAAGAGAGAGGCCAAGGCCAGACACACCCTCTATTTATTGCCACACAAGCAAATAGAGCCATTGGCCCATTTGAGCTGCTGTCTGTGAGGTCACCAGACAGGGCGGTGCCTGGC